TTGTTTCCCTTCCCAGGGGAGATGTGTTCATGAAGAAGTCGCTCATGTTTATGTCCAAGAGATTTCTGCCTATATTTTATTCTAAGAGTTTTATGGTTTCATAACTTATATTCAGGTCTTTGATCCATTTCAAATTTACTTTTGTGTATGGGGTTAGACAGTGATCCAGTTTCATTCTCTTATATGTAGCTGTCCAGTTTTGCCAACACCAGCTGTTGAAGAGGCTGTCATTACCCCATTGTATGTTCATGGCTCCTTTATCATACATTAATTGACCATATATGTTTGGGTTAATATCTGGACTCTCTATTCTGTTCCACTGGTCTGTGGCTCTGTTCTTGTGCCAGTATCAAATTGTCTTGATTACTGCGGATTTGTAGTAGAGCTTGAAGTTGGGGAGTGAGATCCCCCCACTTTATTCTTCCTTCTCAGGCTTGCTTTGGCTATTCCGGGTCTTTGGTTTTTCCATATGAATTTTTGAACTATTTGTTCCAGTTTGTTGAAGAATGTTGTTGGTATTTTGATAGGCATTGCATTGAATCTGTAGATTGTTTGAGGCAGGATGGCCATTTTGATGATATTAATTCTTCCTACCAAAGAGCATGGAATGAGTTTCCATTTGTTGGTGTCCTCCTTAATTTCTCTTAAGAGCATCTTGCAGTTTTCAGGGTACAGGTCTTTCACTTCCTTGGTTAGGTTTATACCTAGGTATTTTATTCCTTTTGATGCAATTGTGAATGGAATTGTTTTCCTGATTTCTCTTTCTGTTAGTTCATTGTTAGTGTATAGGAAAGCAACAGATTTTTGTGCATTAATTTTGTATCCTGCAACTTTGCTGAATTCCGATATTAGTTCTAGTAGTTTTGGAATAGAGTCTTTAGGGTTCTCTATGTACAATATCATGTCATCTGCAAATAGTCACAGTTTGACTTCTTCTTTACCAATCTGGATGCCTTGTATTTCTTTGTTTTGCCTAATTGTTGTGGCTAGGACCTCCAGTACTATGTTAAAGAACATTGGGGAGAGTGGGCATCCCTTTCTTGTTCCCAATCTTAGGGGAAAAGCTTTCAGCTTCTCACTGTTAAGTATGATGTTGGCTGTGGGTTTGTTGTATATGGTCTTTATTATGTTCAGGTACTTTCCCTCTATACCCATTCTGTTGAGAGTTTTTATCATGAATGGATGTTGAATTTTGTTGAATGCTTTTTCATTGTCTATGGAAATGATCATGTGGTTTCTGTCCTTCTTTTTCTTGATGTGGTGGATGATGTTGATGGATTTTTGAATGTTGTACCATCCTTGCATCCCTGGGATGAATCCCACTTGGTCATGCTGTATGATCTTCTTGATGTATTTCTGAATTCGATTTGCTAATATTTTGTTGAGTATATTTGCATCTATGTTCATCAGGGATATTCGTCTGTAATTTTCTTTTTTGGTGGGGTCTTTGCCTGGTTTTGGTATTAAGAGTGATGCTGGCTTCATAGAATGAGTTTGGGAGTATTCCCTCCTCTTCTATTTTTTGGAAAACTTTAAGGCGAATGTGTATTATGTCTTCTCTATATGTGTGATAAAATTCAGGGCTGAATCCATCTGGCCCAGGGCTTCTGTTCTTGGGTAGTTTTTTTTATTACTGATTCAATTTCTTTGCTGGAAATTACTCTGTTTCGATTTTCTGTTTCTTCCTTGGTCAGTCTTGGCAGTTTGTATTTTTCTAGAAAGTTGTCCATTTTTTCTAGGTTTTCCAGTTGTTAGCATATAGATTTTCATAGTATTCTCTAATAATTTTTTGTATTTCTGTGGGGTCTGTCGTGATTTTTCCTTTTTCATTTCTGATTCTGTTGATGTGTGTAAATTCTCTTTTTCTCTTAATAATTCTGGCTAGGGGCTTATCTATTTTGTTTATTTTCTCAATGAACCAGCTCTTGGTTTCATTAATTTTTCCTACTGTTTTGTTATTCTCAATTTTATTTATTTCTTCTCTGATCTTTATTATGTCCCTCCTTCTGCTGACTTTGGGCCTCATTTGTTCTTCTTTTTCCAGTTTCAATAATTGTGACTTCAGACTATTCATTTGGGATTGTTCTTCCTTCTTTAAATAGGCCTGGATTGCTGTGTACTTTCCTCTTAGAACTGCCTGTGCTGTGTCCCACAGAAGTTGGGGCTTTATGCTGTCATTGTCATTTGTCTCCATATAGTGCTTGATCTCTGTTTTAATTTGGTCATTGATCCACTGATTATTTAGAAGCATGTTGTTAAGCCTCCATGTATTTGTGAGCCTTTCTGTTTTCTTTGTACAATTTATTTCTAGTTTTATACCTTCATGGTCTGAGAAGTTGGTTGGTAGAATTTCAATCTTTCTGAATTTACTGAGGCTCTTGGTGGCCAGTATGTGGTCTATTCTGGAAAATGTTCCATGTGCACTTGAGAAGATGTGTATCCTGCTGCTTTTGGGTGTAGTGTTCTCTACATGTCTGTTAAGTCCATCTGTTCTAGTGTGTTGTTCAGTGCCTCTCTGTCCTTACTTATTTTCTGTCTGGTGGATCTGTCCTTTGGAGTGAGTGGTGTTGAAGTCTCCCAAAATGAATGCATTGCATTCTATTTCCTCCTTTAATTCTGTTAGTATTTGTTTCACATATGTTGGTGTTCCTGTATTGGGTGCATATATATTTATAATGGTTATAGCCTCTTGTTGGACTGACCCATTTATCATTATGTAATGTCCTTCTTTATCTCTTCTTACTTTCTTGGTTTTGAAGTCTATTTTGTCTGATACTAGTACTGCAACACCTGCTTTTTTCTCCCTATTGTTTGCGTGAAATATCTTTCTCCATCCCTTGACTTTTAGTCTGTGTATGTCTTTGGGTTTGAGGTGAGTCTCTTGTAAGCAGCATATAGATGGGTCTTGGTTTTTTTTATCTATTCTGTTACTCTGTGTCTTTTGATTGGTGCATTCAGTCCATTTACATTTATGGTGATTACTGAAAGATATGTACTTATTGCCATTGCAGGCTTTAGATTTCTGGTTACCAAAGGTCGAAGGTTAGCTTCTTTACAATCTAGCCATCTAACTTAACTCGCTTATTAAGCTATTATAAACACTGTCTGGTGATTCTTTATTTCTCTCCCTTCTCATTCCTCCTCCTCCATTCTTTATATATTAGGTGTTTTATTCTGTACTCCTTTGTGTTTCCTTTGACTGCTTTTCTGAGTAGTTGATTTCATTTTTTGCCTTTAGTTAGTATTTGGTTGGTGTCCTTTCTTTGTTGTGATTTTATTTTCTCTGTTGACATCTATTTAGCCTTAGGAGTGCTTCCAACTAGAGAAGTCCCTTTAAAATATCCTGTAGCGGTGGTTTGTGGGAGGCAAATTCCCTCAACTTTTGTTTGTCTGGGAATTGTTTAATCCCTCCTTCATATTTAAATGATATTCGTACTGGATACAGTATTCTTGGTTAAAAGCCCTTCTGTTTCATCGCATTAAATATATCATGCCATTCTCTTCTGGCCTGTAAGGTTTCTGTTGAGAAGTCTGATGATAGCCTCACCGGTTTTCCTTTGTAGTTGACCTTTTTTCTCTTTCTGGTTACCTTTATTAATACTCTGTTCTTGTCTTTGATCTTTGCCATTTTAATTATTATATGTTTTGGTGTTGTCCTCCTTGGGTCCCTTGTGTTGGGAGTTCTGTGGGCTTCCATGGTCTGAGAGACTATTTCCTCCCCCAGTTTAGGGAAGTTTTCAGGTATCATTCCTTCAAAGACACTTTCTATCCCTTTTTCTGTCTCTTCTTCTTCTGGTATTCCTATAATGCAAGTATTATTCTGTTTGGATTGGTCACATAGCTCTCTTAATAGTCTTTCATTCCTGGAGATCCTTTTATCTCTCTCTGCCTCAGCTTCTCTGTATTCCTGTTCTCTGATTTCTATTCCATTAATGGCCTCTTGCACCTCATCCAGTCTGCTCTTAAGTCCTTCCAGAGATTGTTTTATTTCTGTATTCTCCCTCCCAACTTGATCCTTTAGCTCTTGCATATTTCTCTGCAGTTCCATCAGCATGGTTATGACCTTTATTTTGAATTCTTTTTCAGGAAGATTGGTTAAATCTATCTCCCCAGGCCCTCTCTCAGGGTTGTCTGGGTAATTCTGGACTGGACCACATTCTTCTGCCTTTTCATAGCAACAGAGGTAGCTGCAGGCAGGTAGCGCATGTGTCAGCTGGGAGAACAGAGTCCTTTCCTGTTTGCTCGTAGAGGTGGAAATATTTTAAAAAATAAAACACAGACACACAGCTCTGTCAAGTGTTAGTTCAGATCTTCATACATAAAGCAAAACTAAAGGAGCCATGAAAGTACAAACAAAATGACTATAAGTAAGAATGGACTTGGAAAGTACAGTCCAAAAAATATATCAATTCCTATTCGGAGCATACATATGTATCTATTTCCCATGTTCACAAGTACCTAGAAAGAATGAAACCAGTAAAATTTCGGTAAGAGATAGTTAATTAACATAAATGAAGAAAAGTAAAAATAAAAATTAAATAATAACTGGGTACATTCAAAGAACCCCTAATCTATGAAAATAAAAAAAAGCAAAAAAGAGAAAACTAAAGATGTTGTGAATATGTTATTAGGTAGTTGTATAAAAATCTTTCTTCTGAGAAATGTAGAATTGTTCATTAAAGAGACTGTAAAGTTAAGAAGTAAAATCCTTGCTTTGCAAATGCTTAATTAACTATGCTATCAAACATTCTCAGTCCGAAGAGTCAAATACATTTCTGGAAAAGCAGCAATAAACATGGGCACAAAAATACCAAGAGAAAAGGATTTTAAGAAAAAGATCCATGTTAGTATTTGAAGTAAGTGGTAATGGTAACATTATTTAATCTTTATATAACTGCTGGAAGTAATGAAATTAATCAAGTCTCCATGCCCATGGACAGATTGTATCAATTGTGGAGGAACATTATTCTTCTTTTTGAAAAATGAACTATGTAACAAAATTAAGCTGCTTTACTGCATTTTATTGATATAAACACAACACATTTCAGAAACATCAGCTAGCATTTTACCACTAACCAAGGGAAATAAAAGTCAATAGAATTAAATATTAATACAAAGAGTAATTACAGAAAGCTTTCAGTTTCATCTGACGTAGTCTTTAACAGCATCCTATATACTTTGAACAATCTGCCTGTAATTGATTGGATGTTTCAAATGAAGCAAAGATGAAATTAAATCAAACTTTCATTTCTCAGTGGAAAATGCTCTCTTCATCAGAGGTGGCTGAGCTTTCCCAACATCAAACATCATTTCCAAAGGTGGGTTATTAAGAGAACACCAATCAGGTATACGGCCTATCTGATTATAATATTCCTTTGAGATTGAACGGCTCCCAAGTATGTCTTGCAGTGCTCCAAAAATAGCTCCTGTGTGGTAAAAAATATTTTATAGCTAAAATAAAAACTTCTTACCATAAAATTTTATATACACATATATCCACTTGATTATATGACAGGAGAGAACAAGTAAAATTCAGCAATGCATATTCACATGCTTCAAATTCACTCCAGTTAAGTTGATCTATAGCCTATATTTTAAATAATAGGGTAAGCCAAAACTCCAATGTTGAAAGTAACTTAAAAGGCCTATAGCAGATTATAGTGAAAATGGTAACAAGTATTACTATTCAAAAACCAGATGAGGTAGAGTGAAAAGTATTTTCAATTCTGTGTAATTTTCTTCACCACAACTCTAAGATTTTACATCATAAATAAAACAGCACTGTAAACCCAATAAGTATCATTATAATGCCCTTAGAGTTTATGCTGAAGACATAAATACTCACAAGAGTCTTTAAAAAATAATCTAGTAATTAAATTCATTTATCCTAGATCTAAATTACATAAGAAATACAGCATTCATTTAAAATCTCAATACTTTCTCTAAATGACCCTGATACCTATTAGCTGTAACCGCATCAGAAAACACATATCAGAACATACACAAATACACATATCCATGATTGTCTCTCAACAAAGTAGTCTCTTCATTAAACTATGTCCTTATTTCAGTGAAACTATCATTTCCTAAAACATCCAATGAACTTATTCACAAAATAAAGTGTTATGATAAAGAGATCAGCTTTGATATATGGCTCACAAATTAGCTTTGGAAGGAAATAAATGTTTTGAGCAATGGTAGTATTGTTATAAAAAATGTAAAAGCATAGCTATCACTATTATGAGTGATGACTTTAACTGTATTAAGTTTAATTTAAAAAATCAAAGTGCAAATGAGAAGAGAAACAGGTATATAATTCTAGAAAGTAATAATTTAAAGAAAAGTCAATATTCAAGGAAATTTATTTAATAGTTCTATTAGTTTATTAGTTGGACAATCTTGAACACTGAACCATCTGTTCTAATGCACTTGACCCTTGAACAATTTGGGTTTAAATTGCATGGACCCATTTATACATGGAGTTTTTTCAATAAACACACTGGAAAATCTTTTGGGGATTAGTGACAATTTGAAGAAACATTTTCTTTTTTCTAGTTGACCTTACTGTAAAGCTATAGTAGAAAATACATGTAACACACAAAATATGTGTTAACTATTTATGTTATAGGTAAGGCTTCTGGTTAACATTAGGCTATTAACAGTGAAATTGTTGGGGAAAAATGTTATACACAGATTTTCAACTGTAGGAGTGGGGGCTCGCACCTCTAATCCCCGAGCTGTTCAAGGGTCAAAGGTACATACATTAATAATACCTCTCAAGAACCAATTCGTATGAATCATTACATTTTAAAAACTAAATTCTTACCTCCCAACCAGGCTACACAGTTAGCCTTTGCAGGTGGAGTATGGATTCGGAATGTCTTGGTGCCAAGTGTTTTTTTGTACTTTGGTTTTTCTACCAAATACCTTATTTCTGCAAGCAATCTGTGGAGAAATCCTGGCAACATAGATGTGCCACCGATGACTACCAAATTCTCTGCTAGTTGCTTTCTGGTGTCTATTGGGCACTATTATTAAAAAGAAAGCAAAACTTATCCTTAACTGTATATATAATGCTAGGCTGAACTTAAGAAAATATGCAGATTATGTATTACAAATTAAACAGGTGATCATTTGTATCACAAAAAGGCAAAATAAGGTTTCTTTAAAGAGCTATTCATGTAGCAAATATATAACCATGATAATATCGCTACATACTTACATAGAATTTTAAAGATTTTAAAATCTAATAGTATAGAAATTTTAATTTTACAAGGCATACAGTAGTAATATGTCAGGATAGAATGACTAAGTTGAGCAAGAACATGTGAAGAAATAATTTTTGCCTCTTGTTTAGTAAGGGAAGTATGTGGAAACTTAAGGTAAAGGTGCTATCTTCACAGTATTTATTATATCCAGAACCAGTTGCTGAATAGGAAGATAATTCTTGGAAAAATTATTTTTCCTCATCAGTTATCACTAAGAATTAGGAATGTTAAAGTCCTTCACCAATGTTGTTTTTCATGAAAGTGTCTGAGTGCAGCCCTAGAGGAAGACAGTTATCTTCCAAAGCAATGGCAGTTCACATGGAGTTCTGTGATTCCATCACTGAACTAGAGACACACATTATCAAAGAACTTAAAATTTAAAATTTAAATTTAATTCAAATTTCTGAATTTAAAATTCAATACTACACAGACCTTTATTTGAAGAAACTACAAGTCATACTAGATACAAAATAAAAATCTGGAATTCTGGGAAAAAGATGGCAGTGTAAGAAGGCAAGGCAAAAACCTCCTCCCCGTATCACATAGAACATGAAAATACAACAAATACAGCTAGGTCTGAAATTGATCTGAAGACTGCAAACTGACTACCTTCCTCTGGGGAAGAAGAGAAGACCCTGCAGAAAAGGGTAAAGTGGCAAAGCTGCAATCTGGTGGGACTCAAGCCCTCCCTCTAAGCCGAGGAAGAGGAACAGAACAGGGAGGGAATAGAAGCCCAGGATCGCTGTACACCTGGCCCTAGAGATCTGCTCCAGGAACATGAGTCCACATTGCATGGTGCCCTTGTAGTTGGTGGGGCTGGACAACAGAGAAAGGCGGACCACTCAGGGAGGCTGAGATCCCAGCTACCTGTGGAGAACAGGAACATTCTACCAGTCCCCCAGAGAAAGAAAGCAGAGCAGGCTGTTTTTGAAAGACTTCCCAGTAGTGAGATGGGTGCCAGAGGGACAAGGATTGCACAGCGCTCTATATTTAGGAGAGAGTTCAGGTGGACAATAGCTCCTCATCCTGTCCTCAACCCAACTTGAGGTTGGGAGCCCTCAGGAGCTTCAGACACTCCATCCCCTTCGCTGGCAACACAGCCTGGAGGATCCTAGCAGTGGCATGCGGGCTGCCAGCTGGCAGTGAAATCACACTTTGCTCCTGAGTAGGCAAGGGGAAAACCCCCAGCCTGCTCAGCCCTATTTTGGGCCAGCCAGGGAGCTGCATGCAGGAGCCAGACCTGGAGCTCTTTACTCCTGGGAGGCACCAGTCATGTTTGCCATTGGCCCCTGCCATCACAGCAGGCCGGACGGAGGGTGACTCCACCTACTGGCAGCTCCAGAGAGTATTCTCCCCTCTCCTGCAATAAGCTGACGGCTCACACAGCCCACCTGAAATCAGATCTCTACGGGCAATGCAGAAAGGTGCCACACCCACTACATGCCAACAGCTGGGGCTGTCACACAGGAAATTGAGCTTCTGGGAGCTAGAAGGTTATCTCCTACACAAACCTATTATCCCATAAGAAACACTAAAAAACTATGAACGGGCAGAGGAATAGAGGAATTTGGCCCAAACAAAAATACAAGGAAAAACACCAGAAAGAGGGCTTAGTGAAACTGAAATCACCAATCTTCTTGATAAAGATTTTAAAATAAAACTCATAAACATGCTCACAGATTTACAGACAACTATTCAAGATCTCAGGGAGGACTTCAACAAAGAGACCGAAATCCTGAAAAAAAGTCACTCACAACTGAAGAATACAGTATCTGAAATGAAACATACACTGGAGGGATGTAAAAGTAGATTAGATGATGTAGAGGAGACAGTAAATGAAACAGAAATTAGAGAACAGGAAAACAAAGAAGCTGAGGAACAGAGAGAAAAAAGGATCTTTAAGAATGAAAGAATGGTAAGAGAGCTATGTGACCAATCCAAATGGAACAATATTCACATTATAGGAATATCATAAGAAAAAGAGAAAGACAAAGGAATAGGAAGTCTCTGAGGAAATAATTGTTGAAAACTTCCCCAATCTGGGGAAGGAAATAGCCACTCCAGGTCATGGAAGCACAAAGATCATGTAACAAAAGGAACCTTAGGAAGACACCACCAAGACATATAATAATTAAAATGGCAAAGATCAAGGACAAGGAGAGAGTACTGATAGCAACCAGAGAGAGAAAAAAGATCACTTATAAAGTAAATCCCATCAGGCTATCAGCAGACTTCTCAGCAGAAACCTTACAGGCCAGATGGGAATGGAATGATGTATTTAACGTAATGAAACAGAAGGGCTTCCAACCAAGAATACTCTACCTAGCAAGATTATTTAAACTTGAAGCAGGGATTAAATAATTCCCAGATAAGCAAAAGTTGAGGGAATTCACCACCACTAAACCATTCTTACAAGATCTCTTAAACGTACTACTCTATATGGAAATACTTCTAAGGCTAAACAGCTGTCGCTAGAGCAAATAAACCCACAGTAAAGGAAGTAGACCAATTAATTATTAAGCAAATACAAAATTAAATCAACTACTCACAAAGTCAGTCAAGGGAAACACAAAGAGTGCACAATATGACACCTAATCTAGAAAGAGTAGAGAAGGAAGAAGGAAGAGAGAAAAAAAACCAAACCTTTAGATTGTATTGGAAACAGAGTAATAAGCGACTTAAGATAGACTGTTAGATAGTAAAGAAGTTGCCTTTGAACCTTTGTTAACCACAAACCTAAAGTCTGCAATGGCAATAACAGATATCGATAATCACCCTAAATGTAAATGGACTGAATGAACCAATCAAAAGACACAGAGTTGCAGAATGGATTAAAAAACAAGACCCATCTATATGCTGCCTACAAGAGACTCATTTCAAACCCAAAGACATACATAGGCTAAAAGTGAAGGGATGCAAAAAGATATTTCACATAAATAATAGGGAGAAAAAAGCAGGAGTAGCAGTACTTGTATCAGACAAAGTAGACTTCAAAACAGGGAAACTAACAAGAAACAAAGGACATTCCATAATGATAAAGGGGACAGTCCAGCAAGAGGATATAACCATTACAAATATCTATGCACCCAATATAGAAGCACCTAAATATGTGAAACAAATACTAACAGAATTAAAGGGGGAAATAGAATGCAACACATTCACTTTAGGACACTTCAAAACAACATTCATTCCAAAAGACAGATCAACCGGACAGAAAATAAGTAGAGACAGAGGTACAAAATAATCTGACATGGAAAAAATGCACCATATGTCCACAGCACTTATTATTCCTGCCTTTGAAATGTTCTAGGTACCATAATCTAAGTGCCAAAAAAATCTCAGTAACTATAAAATTTAACATAAAAGCTAAAGAATGTAACTAATGGCTCAAATAAAAATACAGAAAATAAAATTTATAAGTTTTCTCTACAGCGCTATCATAAATTTAAACTTTTTACAAAATAAAAATACCTGCATAAGGGAATCCAATATTAAAGTGGCAACTGATTTCTCTTCATTATCTTGTTCAAAAAGAATCTCCACGACCGAATCTCTAGTGAAATTAAAAGCAGAGTGCTTTATTAGAACCACACAAGATACAGAACATACCATTAGTTCCATTTACATATCTTTAAGTACCAATCTATGTTAATGTATTTTGTCCCAGTTATACCTTCTTAAACCTAATAGTAGAAATGGAGAATTATATAAAAGTGACTTAAGAGTCAAGTAGCAGATCAGTAGTGACACAAGAGATTAAAAATCAAACAATGCCTCCAGCCCCCAAAGCATTTCTTTGTTTTTAAAAATAATATATGGCAAAGATTGATAGTTACCTAATATAATTTTGATTTTCCTGTTCTTTCTCAAATTAAAAGAACCCATTTTGGGGTAGCACAAGGAAGATCTCTGTGGTTATAGTATAGTTCGTATTTTGACTGTGGCAGTGGTGGTTATATCTACATGTGATAGAATTACACAGAACTATGCATGTTATACCAATATCAATTTATTGGTTTTGATACTGTACTATAGTTTTTCAAGATGAAACAATTGGGAGAAACTGAGTGAGGCACATATGGGGACCTCTCTGCATCATCTTTGCAATTTTATGAATTTTAATTATTTGAAAATAAAGACAGAACTCCATTTTTAAGCTGGATACAATGACCTTCCCCAACAGAAATACTGTATTTACCAGGCTCTGTTGCAGGTAGATGTATCTAAGTACCAGACAATGGGATGGAGGCAGAAGAGGTATGTGGGATTTCTAGAGTCTTCTTAAAAAGGAGAGGAAGCACTTTTTCTTTTCCCTTCCTAGGACTGCTTGCTTGAAACATGACGTAGTAGGTGTAACTTCAGCAACCACCCTGGTTCCCAAGGACAAAGGCTACTCACCAAAGATGATGGGAAATTCTTTGAGTCCCTGATGGGAGTTATCATTCCACTCCTGGACTATCTACCTCTGAACTTTCTTTAAGAGACAAGCTTCTAGATTGTTGAAGTCAATATTTTCAGGTTTGTATAACTGGTGACCAAACCAAATCCTAACCAATGCAATACAAAACTATATATATATATGAATATAGAAACACTACTTTTAAAAAATACTATGCATACTATTTCAAAGCTTTTTAAAATTTTTTTCGAAAACATAAAAACTGTCTTCATGGGACTCAATCCACTGGCTAACTACCATTTCATGGGTAAAGTATGCTGAGGCCTGCAGTATGCTCAACACTAATGCCTAGAGAGCCACTTGATACTATGCCTGCATGCTTCTGCTCTACCAGTTGATTCAATGCTTACAAAGCATCAGTTTCCTTTTTCTAAACCTTTTATTATCAGTAGATTTAATACTGAAATCATAATTTTGCAATTATTAATCAGTGAATTATTAGGCTAGAAAAAATTTGTTTTTTCTAGGTGGTCTAATGTTGAATGCTTTGTGAAGACAAAATAATTTTTTAAACATTTTATATATGAGTAATGCAACTGTAAAAGTCTAAAGGAAAATATGTAAGATTCTCTACCAGGACTGATTTACAAATAACTAAGTTCTCACCGTACTTAAAAAAATCCCCTGGAAATCATAAACTATCAATTACTGGTTTATGTAAACTTAACTCAAAACCCTAGAAGCAGACTTATCCTCAAAGAAAAGGTCCTGGAAAATAGTGTGGCAAATAAATACATATTTACAAATTTTAAGTTAAAATATTTAGGATGATTTTTTAAAATGATCATTTACTTTAAATGATTCTTCTCACTTACCAACACACTACTCACTTGGACTATATTATTAAATTAGGTTTCAATGAAACTATGCTTTTTAGTAAGAAAAACATATTGGCAAACAATTGTAAATAATACGTTTGGAATGTGAGACATAGTGACTTTTTTTACCCTCAATCTATTTTCCTACTTATATGTAACCAAAAAGCTCCATATTTGTAAAATTGATTTAAAACACTTATTTTCTTCTCCTATTTTGTGCTCCACTAAACAATGAAAGGAAAAATTTAAATAGTAATTTAATGAATATACTTAAATAAGAGGCAAAATGATAAAAAGTTACTATCAAAAAGTGTTACATTCTCACTTTTTGTTCCCCCACATTTAACATGTATATATTCAGTTTCATCCCTTTAAAATCTCACAGTCTATATTAATTATCTCAAAGTCTAACAGGATCTTCACTATTTACATAATAATTTTTTTCTTTGCATTTTCTGATCTAATACTTCAGATGAAACTTTGTACTACAAGTTTTATAAAGCTTGCATCTAAACAGAAATCAAATTCTAAAATATAATTATAATACAATTATGTAAGTCCTTAATAACAAGATATATTGCATCATCAGACAGAATAATGAACAATAAAAAGGTGAATTACTAACTGATCCTAAAGATTTACTACATTTGGAAAAATGAATTCTTTCTAACAAGACAATTTTAAAGCAGAAATCAGCAAGCTATGACCTGCAAGCCAAATCCAGCTCACTGTCTGTTTCTGCAAATTAAGTTTTACTGGTATACTGGTGAACCCTGTTTTAAAGTATTATACTTTAGTCTTCACTTCAAAGAATGGCTAGTCCCATTAGTTAAATTAATGCTGAATTACTTTAAAGAACAGGAAAAAATATTTTTTAAAGTTTTAAAAATTTAAAAAGTTCAATAGTAAAATTAATCACTACTGAGGAGGCTTAATGAAAAACATGTAATGGTTAAATCATCAATACTAAAAGCTTATCCAAATATTTTTAAAGGCCAAAAATGTATTTAAGTTCATTATTTTTGGTCATAAAAATTAAGCTCTAACCTGATTGATCCAAGGACATGTAAAATCTTCTCTCCATCTAATGGGTAGTCAACATTTGGTGGTGGTGAAGGACGCTGAAATATAAATACCCTAATCATAAGTATAGGGTTTAAGCTCTGAAAAAAGAATATACATTTATTTTTTAACTTACCTCAGTATTTCCATCAATATTAAATTTTGCTGCTTGGATTTTTAGTCCACGATTCAGATCACTTACAAAGCAAGTTCGCACTTAAAAAAAAGAAGACTCTTAGGGTTTGTGATTGAATCAATCTATGACCCAGTTAAAACAGTATGTCTTTAGTTAGCTTACGACAATTTATTCACAAATAAAAACACTTTCATTTGCTGAGGAGTCTTAAGTCATTGTGGGTGCTCATCTTCCATAAAACCCTATTTTTAAAAAAACCATCTTTGAGGAAACTATTATATTTTTTATGTTTCTTGTATAAAGAGTACCATAATAAAAATAAATTTTAGCATCACGAAAACACAGCTATTCTAATTTTCTTTAATAATGCATAGCTGACATACAATACTATATTGGTTTCAGGTATACAACATAATGACTCAACAATTACATGTATTGCAAAATGTTCACCACGATGTGTTGTTACCATCTCCATACAAAGATATAATATTATTGGCTATATTCCCTATGCTGTACTTTACATCCCTGTAACTTATTTATTTTGTAATTAGAAGTTTGTCTCCCTTTATCCCCAAAGTTTATTTCACCCCAATGCCAAGTATCTACTCTAATAGAGTAGCATGTTGCTTTGAACCAGGTTGATTTATATCTCTATCTTATGTATGTATTTATCTGATTCTTTTTTAAAAACCTTGGCTGGTCAGAACACAAAGATAAATTTTGTTTTCAGCTGCAGTAACACTCCCCTTAGTTTAGTATTTTTTTGGTGTGATTATTTTCTCCCCCTTGGGACACTCCAACACAACCACTTTTTTCTATTATATTACCCTTTTGTTTTACATTTTGAACATTTATTGTTTTAAATATTATTTTAGTTGCAAAGTATCTCTTATAATAAGCTGCTTCAAATTATTTTCAGAAATAGGTAAAGAATACAAATTTTTTTTTAAGTAGAAAAAAATGTTGAATGTAAGAAATCTAATGACTTGGTTACTTGTAAAATATGTTAAATATATATTTATGTCATATAAATTTCTTTTCATATCACTAATTCAAAATATATTTAAGATTATACAATATACTAGTATGCTAGATAGCAAGCTAGTTGTTCAACTTAGATACTTTGTATTTTATTAAAGTTCTCATAACTATTTAAGTAAGGTAAACACCTAACCCTCACAATTTTATACACTTCACAGGGGAAGGTACCCTTCTTTAAGGAAATGAAATTCACTGAATTAAAATTCCAAGAAGAGAGAAATTATACTTAACTTTAAAACAACTGAAAAAGTTTAGTTAATTAAATTATGTAAGTAATATTATGTGTGGCATTTTAAAAAAAATAGAAATGGGTTCCTATTGTACTTTCAACCAACAACATGCTTTTTCCCTTAATGTATTATGGATATCCTTCCAAATCAATACATCTAGTCCCTTTTTTTAACAGCTGCATTGTATATTCCTTATTAGGAAGTTATCAAACTTCATTTAACATTCACTTCTTAGATGGGGTGTACATTTTCAATTTTAATAAATAAGGCAGATTGCTTTCAAAAAAGATTAGTTTTCAAAATGTACTAATACTAATGTATTCATTTTCCCACAATCTCATGAATACTGGATGTCTACTTTTCAAACTTTTGTCAATTTGATGTTTCCTTGTACCAAATTATCTCCAGGTCCCATTTAACTCTAAAATCTACTACTGTCAAAATCTCTATTAAATATTCTAGAATATCAGTTTTACATGACACTCTCAGTACTGAAGAATATTAGATCATATTTTAAAGTGCTTTCCTTATAATGAATCAAAATACCAGAAAACTCAATTTAAACACAGTCATAAAAATGCACTCTAGCAAAGGAGAGGTAATATATCTTAAAGGGAATGCAATATACTTTGGTCCCAACTATAGGATTTCCAAAGTCAGTAAAATGACTGGTCTTATAAAAAGTATTAAAAAAATAGCTAAAGTAAAAAAAAAAAAAAACTATGTAGCAAAGACACAGAGACCACCTTCTTAGGCAATTGAACTGTTCATTTGTACTGTGCAAACTACTAATTCCCTAGTAAGCCTATATACTCTGTAATTGAGAAGTTTCTTCAATAACACATCATAAATAATGCCAAAAGCTTCCATAAATTCGAAGAAAAATCTAAATTTATTTACATTATTCCACAGCCTATATAATATATATTTTTAGGATATTACATTATAAATTTAATACCTTTTGTATCTGTATAATTATTTAGAAACACATGCTTTCCAAATACTTAAGAATGAAAGGTACAAAAATGGGAACTTAGTTTACCTTTAATGTCTTCTAAGATACCTTCTGGAATTGAACCTAAAATAGAAATTTTATTTAGAACCATAGAACTTTAGTGATAAGCAGAAAAGTATCGTAAATTTCCATTTTCCATTTTAGCTAAAATTTAAAAAATATATGTACTATAATTTTTAAAGCCAAATCAAAAAATTAACTTCACTTTTAGAGAAGAAACTTGGTCACTCAAAGTCAAAGCACAGAAGTTGAAGACGGATATGAACAAAGTGCTACAAGATGTCACATATTCAAAAATTTGATAAAAGACCTTAAAAATATTGTAGAATAATTGGCATTAGTTAGGAATCAACCAAGAATATCTTCTCTAACATAAAACAATTTGCTGGTTATTTTGAGCCCATGTACTTAGAAAAAATATAATTTTTCTTGCACAAAAAGTGAAGTTTCAAGTTTGCTTATCTTTCCAGTGACAATAAATGACTGTCAGTAATATGCTAACCTAATACATATTTTTAACAAGGATTACACACAGACTTTAAATTTTTCCTTTGAGGTAAAGGTGACTTCAAAAAAATGAGTGAAAAAAGTACCTATTCAAAGAAATCTACACAATATAGCAAGCCTTTAGAGATGAATTTTTGGATATGTTACTGTTATGTAATCTTATTGCCAAAAATCTCATTTTTCAAGTCAGACTCAGAAACAAACTTTTCTAACCTAAATGTAAAATCTTTTAATTTCAGAATTTTTAACCCATTGCTAAATATGTAAAAATAGTCTCAATTGATTATAAAAACAAATTATTTACATCAAGGAAGACAAAAATTCATAGTTGAAAAAGGAATCATAACTTAATAAGGGTAATCATGTACTTCATCCATCTCTGGATCTATATATCTCCTGAGCTATATCTTTAAGTTATGACAGCTACTGAAACTAAGTATTAAAATAAAGTTAAAAACCACACCTTCAAAGTATTAAGCCATAACCTTTAAAAAACAATATACAATATTTAATGACATTGCTAATAAAGATTTCCAAAAAGATTTAAATCTGGCTATAAATAAATGAAAGAAATGCAACTAGATCATAAGAACCTACAATTTAAGAATTAGTGCTAAAAACCATAACATCCTCACTGCTATAGTCTCTCTAGGAATATTCAAATAAATTCCAACATGTGCCAAAGTAATTTTCTAATAGGAAATAACAGTTTTCTTTAAGCAACACATAAGGGAGGCATGAAAATAAGGGTTTAATTTAGCTGAGAGTAGATGCTGCTTTGGAAAGGGGCTCCTTAATCTTAGCAAATTACTACAATCATTTAAACTTGGCAAATGAGCGATAGAAACAAGGCATTCACTGACTCTGGCTCTCAAAAATCATATTTAAATTTCAGTTAATTTAGGATAATAAGCATAATATTTTCTATATAATTTAAATGTATACTTTTCAAATCAATGTACTCGGGTTAGCCTTTAAAAATTTTAAGCTACTGTAAAACTGTGTGGTCATTCTTTTTTGAACTGGGCTCTAAATACTAAATGAAAGAGGCTCAAGTTCACTTGAGGATAGATACCTAAATATATTTAAGACTTTCATCTAATCTTCGTTTACGACCTTGACAAGAGATATTTTAAGCGTGTCTGTGTTTCTGATTCTCTAGGTGTTGTCCTTCAACCAATAGTGGTATGATTTAATTCCTCAATTAGAAGGACTCCAAGGCTATCACAGACTTGGATTTGGGCAATATGAAAAGGAAAGGTTAGAATCGGAGCCCAAGACAGTTGGTTAAACAAAAGAAGTCCAAGAACAACATGTAGTTCAGAATTTTAAGTAAATGTTAAAATCAGTTTTAAAGATCTCTCAAAAAATATTTTGGGATGGTGTACTAAACTTATTAACTGTGGATACTTTTCATAAATTTACTGTCATGATATACTAAAACAGCAACAAATTCCATCTGAAATAGAAAAATTATAATTTGATCTACAGAATGAAGAATACTATTATCTTAACTACCAAAAGAACAACAGGAAAACAATATATGCAAGGATAAATGTCCTAAAAATCTGCCTTTCTCTTTTCAACATTTATTCAGTGCCCAGGCACTATTCTAGGGGCTACAGATTGAAAAATAAATAAGAAAGGGCTCCGCAAAGTCTACTGAGGGAAACAGGTAAGTTTACAGGTAAGGAGGATGCATAATATATGCTATAATAAATACTGCTAAGGGCTCAACAAAGGGGAGCAATTTATTCTGCTTAGGAGAAATGAAGAAGGCTTCACAATTAAGATTACATTCTAGCTGAGTCAGGTAGAGACATTAAAAATCTGAGTAGGCAAAGAAAAACATAACAGGTAGAAAAACAGAAAAATTGAAGGCACAGGATTATGGAAGGACTAGTGGTACTTGGAAGACTGCATGAAATTTACTATAGCAGAAATGAGGTACAAAGGGTTGAGTTTAGTAGTTAAGGCTAAGAGGCAGAATAAACTCAGATTGTTCTTCACAATATATGTGTATCTGCACTGTATACCAGACAGATAATTTGGATTTTCAGCTGCAGGAGCCAGCAAATATTCTGAAGTCAAAGAGCAATTTAATCAGTTTTGTTTTGTGGAAGTTATTCCTGGCTCAACTGTGTGAAACAGACTGAATTGGTCCAGAGAATAGACTTCTATGATAATCCAAGCAAGAAAGATGGAGCGCCTAGTTTACAATGCCTCTGTTTTCAGATGTTCAGTGGTGTACGTAATAGAAAAAAGATGAAATTTGAAAGAGATTGCTAAGTGAGAATTGAAAAATATGCTAATTCCCAGGTTTCTAAAATGGGAGATAAGTAAGATACTACCTTTATCTAAGAATTATTTGAAATGAAGATCATTCTTAGGAAGAAAAGATTCTTTGGAAGATGAGATAATGTGTTCACTTTTGGAAATCTTAAGTTTGAGGTGCCCAGAGACATGTCTAGTTTGTATGTAATAATCATTTGGAAATATGAGTATCAAGTTTTGAAGAAGGGTCAGGTCCAGTGACACATCTGAGAATCAACAACATACTCATGTAGCTCAAGTTATGGAAACAAATGAGCTCACTTATAAAAAACTTGTAGGAACAAAACACAAATCCCTATCGGAGTATCAGTAAAGGAAGAAGAGCAGTAGAAACCAAGGAGGAAAACTTAGAGAAAGAACACCATAGAAGAGCATCCTGAAAGACAAGGAACCAAAAGTCCAAGATAACCCATACTGCCAAAAGTCCAAGAAAGGATGACTAAAATTAAATTACTGGATTTGGTAATTAAGAACTCGATGATGAGGAAAACAATTCCATTCACAATTGCATCAAAAAGAATAAAATACTTAGGAATAAACCTAACGAAGGAAGCGAAAGACCTATACCCTGAAAAAACTACAGGACACTGTTAAAAGAAATTAAAGAGGACACTAATAAATGGAAATTCATCCCATGCTTTTGGCTAAGAAGAATTAATATTGTCAAAATGGCCATCCTGCCTAAAGCAGTCTGCAGATTCAATGCAATCCCTATCAAAATACCTACAGCATTCTTCAATGAACTAGAGCAAATAGTTCTAAAATTCATATGGAATGACAAAAGACCCTGAATAGCCAAAGCAATCCTGAGAAGGAAGAATGAAGCAGGCAGAATTATGCTCCCTGACTTCAAGCTCTACTACAAAGCCACAGTAATCAAGACAATTTGGTACTGGCACAAGCACAGACCCATAGACTAGTGGAACAGAATAGAGAGTCCAGATATAAATTCAAGCATATATGGTCAATTAATATACGATAAAGGAGCCATGGACATACAATGGGGAAATGACAGCCTCTTCAACAGCTAGTGTTGGCAAAACTGGACAGCTACATGTAAGAGAATGAAACTGGATTACCGTCTAAACCTGTACACAAAAATAAACTCAAAATGGATCAAAGACCTGAATATAAGTCATGAAACCATAAAACTATTAGAAAAAAATATAAGCAAAAATCTCTTGGACATAAACATGAGCAAATTCTTTATGAACATATCTCCACAGGCAAGGCAAACAAAAGCAAAAATGAACAAGTGGGACTATGTCAAACTAAAAAGCTTCTGTACAGCAAAGGATACCATCAGTAGAACAAAAAGGCATCCTACGGTATGGGAGAATATATTCATAAATGACATATCTGATAAGGGGTTAACATCCAAATTACATAAAGAGCTCATGCACCTCAAGAAACAAAAAGCAAATAAATCCAATTAAAAAAATAGGCAGAGGAGCTGAACAGACAGCTCTCCAAAGAAGAAATTCAGATGTCCAACAGGCACATGAAAAGATGCTCCACATCACTAGTTATCAGAGAAATGCAAATTAAAACCACAATAGATATCACCTCACACCAGTTAGGATCGCCACCATCCAAAAGGCAAACAACAACACATGTTGGTGAGGTTGTGGAGAAAGGGGAACCATCCTACACTGCTGGTGGGAATGTAAACTAGTTCAACCATTGTGGAAAGCAGTATGGAGGTTCCTCAAAATACTAAAAATAGAAATACCATTTGACCCAGGAATTCCTCTCCTAGGAATTCACCCTAAGAATGTAGCAGCCCAGTTTGAAAAAGACATATGCACTCCTATGTTTACCACAGCACTATTTACAAAAGCCAAGAAATGGAAGCAACCTACATGTCCATCAGTAGATGAATGGATAAAGAAGATGGGGTACATATACACAATGGAATATTATTCAGCCATAAGAAAACAAATCCTACCATTTGCAACAACATGGATGGAGCTAGAGGGTATTATGCTCAGTGAAATAACCCAGGCAGACAAAGACAAGTATCAGATGATTTCACTTATCTGTGGAGTATAAGAACAAAAAAAAAACTGAAGGAACAAAACAGCAGCAGACTCACAGAACCCAATAATGGACTAACAGTTACCAAGAGGAAAGGGACTAGGGATGGTGGGTTTGAAGGAAGGGATAAGGGGGAAAATGGGGCATTACGATTAGCACATATAAGGTAGGTGGGAGGACACGGGAAAGGAAGTATATACAGAGAAGACAAGTAATGATTCTATAGCATCTTACTACGCTGATGGACAGTGACTCTAATGGGATATGTGGGGGGGACTTGATAATGGGGGAAATCTAGTAACCATAATGTTCAAGTAATTGTACATTAATGATATCAAAATAAAAAAATTAAAAAAAAGAACTCAATAATGACCTTATAACTGGAGCAAAGTCACTGAATGATGTGAAAGAGAATAACTATGCAATGGGGCAAAAAAATTTGAGTTGAAAAATGAAAAGAGAATGTAAACCCCTCTTTAAATAGTTTAAAATTATTTTACCCATCACAGAAGGAAGACTCTGTTCTTTTGCAGCACCTGTGTCAACAGTACATTGTTCCAGTAATTGAGTTTCCAACTCCCTGAAGGTAAAAAAAAAAAAAAGTCAGAGGGATTAAAATATTGCAACTGGTGTCTCTTTCTTATTTAATATTTATTTTACATTATAGATTATGATGCCTTAAATAAAAGATGAACATACTCAACACTAATAGAGGAAAGGAATGAGTAACATTAAATGTATATATTACAAGCACTCTGTTGGTCACTGTCAAAAAATTAGCATCTGTTTTATGCAAAGGTGAAGCAAATGCACTAAATGCTAAGAAACTTACATATGAAGAGCTTTTCCTCCTAGGGGCAGGGCTCCCCAACAATTTAGTACTGGGATTCCTTCATATATCTGTAGGGTCGTCAAGGGTATTACTATTTTAGGAGATAAAATGTGGTTTCCTTAAATATTCTCCTCACCTTCTGCAGTATTGTTTTAAGTCAGCTTTGGTGGCAAATTCTAATTTATTTTTAAAAGAGTTACAGAAAAATCAGTCTCTTTTCGTATGCTTCTCCAAAGAAAAATGCTAAACACACACATTGAATTCATTTAGTTAGAACTGGGATTTCAATAAAATAGCCACTGGCCACATGTGGCCAGTTTGAATTGAGATGAGCTATAAGAATAAACTTGGCACCAACCTTAGAAGATTTAGTAATAAAATCTATGAAAACTATATTATAATTTTTTATAGATTTTATGTGAAATATTATAATGAATATACTAGGTTCACTAAAACACTGCTCATTTCAACTCATTCATTTGTACTTTTAAAAATGTAGCTCTTAGAAAAATGTTGAATCACATAATGTCTCACATTATGTTTTTATGAGCTGAGAGAACAGTGAACAATATCAAATAGTGTACTTGCTACCTTATTTTACAGTGTGTTTTTTTTTTTGCTGATGTTCTGTAAGTACAGTGCTTATAAAAAGGAAAAAGTATATTTGTAAGAGAATTGGCTCTGGAGACAGACATAGATTTATATATTGGCTATATGCTTATATGACTTATATGACCTTGGGCCAACTGTCTATCCCATTTCAATCTTCTCATTTATATCATGAGAATAACACATTATGTTGCAGGGTTGTTTTAAGACTTTAATACAGAAACACTTTATATTTAAAAAGCTACTGCCTAATTTAGTTCCTTAAGAGCTAATGATTTTTGTTTTCCCTCCCATGAGTATTTCTTTTAAGAAATACACATGTAGATCCCAAACCTGCAAGTCTTGCATTTAGGTACTTCCACTTCTTTTTCAATATATCCATGTCTACTGCACCATTTCTAAGACACATTTACCTATATTCTGCTTAAATGTTTCTAATGAGAAGGAAAGTATAGTTTATTGTCAGTAATTCTACTTTGGGACAGGGTGAATTACTAGGAAATTCTTCCCTAGGAATGATAAAAACTACAGCACTTACAGAGCAAGTTAATATGTGCCAGGTCTTATGCTAAATACCTTATATACATTACCTCACACAATGCCTCTTTGAAGCAGAATTATTAAATTCTTATTTTACAGATGAGAAAACAGAGGTCCAAAGAAATTATTTGACCAACACCATACCACTAGTAAGACGGATAGCTCAGATTTACATTTATGTGTGTATTTGACTCCAAAACCCAAAATCATAAGCCCGATGCCATACTGCCTCAATGACAGCCTCCACAGACAGAAAAAAATGCACTAAGTTTTCCACAGCAAGCCCTTCAACTACTGAAGGCAGATTTCATGTTGCCATTAAGCTTTCTCTGATTTAATTCTATTTCAGTTTCTCCAATTACTCTTTGTATGAGCTTTTCGTAGTACTTGACTATCCTAGTCAACTTCTTTGTCACATCATACTTAGCTGATACTCCTCTTTAAAACTGAACATAATATATATGAGATTTGATCCTTGGAGGATACACTTGGACTAACTCATAATAATTCCTACAAAAAGTAAATTCAGGTCTCATAACCCTGTGTATTTTTTCCACATGGTAATTCATATTTGTAGATGGTAATCCAAAAGAGTTTGATGCAATAAAAACCACTTGTAATATGCCTATTTTAGAGTAAAAACCGCAAAATAAGCTCCTTGACAAAAAAGATACAGGTAACACCAGGCTTTCCCTATATCCACAATCTAGGACCATGGCAGAGTTTATCCCAAGAGTCAGAAGGGCCATCAGATGACTTGGAGCAAGCAAGACAGATGGAACCTAGAAAACAACAATAAAAACAAAACCAGAAAGAATATCAAAAATTGAAAACATTTCTCTAACATTTCAAAAATATTTGAAAAATCCAAAAGAATGTCATATTTATTTATTATACTTATTGAACCATATTATGGCACTAAAGTAAGAGCTAACTTGTTAATTTATTTGAATTTACACCCTAATCAAAATAGATTGTAACAAATAAAACACTAAATTGTCTAAGTTATTTCATTCCAAAATGACAATTTATGAAGCATTTTATTAACTCTTGTTCTTTTTTGGAGGGAAAACAAAGGGATTAAAGAAAAAGGAGTAGGGGAGATGGGATTAAAAATGGCATAATAGGAAGGTAAGACAGAAACCTCCTTCTAAAAACACATAAAAAGGAAAATATACAAATGTAACTAGACCTGAAAATGATCTGAAGACTACAGAACGACCCCTACACCTGAGGAAGGAGAGAGGACCACACAGAAAAGGGTGAGGCAGCCAGCAAAGCCTAGATCGAGTGGATCCCAAGCTCTCCCTCGACACCAGCCTACAAGCAGGAGAAAGAGGAACGGAACAGGGAGGGTGTAGAAGCCCAGGAGCACTGCACTCCTGGCCCTGGAGATCTGCTCTGGGAACATGAGCCTCCATTACATTGGTTCTGGTGATTATCAGAACTGGACACCAGGTGCAGGTGGAACAGTCTGCAAGGCTGACACTCCAATGAGTGTGGAGGGCAGGCATGCTCCACCAGTCCTGAGACCCAAAGCAGAGGCAGCAGTTTTAAAGATTTGCCAGCAGTGGGATAGGTACCAGAGCAGCGAGGCTTAGACGGAACTCTGTCTTCAGGAGAAAGGGCGGCCTTTCCTAAGCCCAAATGATCAGGAACTCTCGGGAGTCCCAGATGCTCCACCCTCCTTGCTGGCAAAGCAGCCCCGAGGCTCCTCCCTGCATGCAATGCCGACAGACAACCCTCTTGGCCAAGCAGCATCAGATTTTGCTGCCTGGCAGGCAGAGGGAAACCCTCCCAGCTTCCTTGGCTCCATTTCAGCCCAACCAGAGAGGTGCCAAGAGAAGCCAGCCCCAAGAGCTCCTTCCTCCCTGCAGGTGTCCAAACCTGGTGCTGTGCATCTGGCAGCCCTGCCCACAGCAAGCTCAACACAGATTCCTGCACTGACCACGAAGGCAGCAGCTCAAGCAATCTGCCCGCCCAGACTTAGATCACTACAGATGTCAGACAGAAAGGTGCCCCACTCATGGCACACCAACAACTGGGGCACCCACAAAATAGAACGAGGTACTAGAGAGTAAAGAATCTTGAGCTTCTGGGAACCATAGCCAACTTCTTCATAAAGTTATTACTTTTTAGACCAGAGAGCACAGCAGAGACCTCTAATACAAAGAAAGAAACACAGAATCCTTGACAAAATGAGCAGGCAGAGAAATTTGATACAATCAAAACTGCAAGACAGAACTCCAGAAAGAGGGCTAAGAGAAACAGAGACCACCAATCTTCTTGATAAAGATTTCAAAATATAAGTCATAAACATGTGCACAGATTTACAGAAAAATATTCAAGATCTCAGGGAGGACTTCAACAAAGAGACAGAAAACCTGAAAAAGAGCCACTCACAGCTGAAGAATACAGTATCTGAAATGAAACATACAATGGAGCGATTTAAAAGTAGATTAGATGATGTAGAGAAGGTAAATGAAATAGAAATTAGAGAAAAGGAAAACAAAGAAGCTGAGGAACAAAGAAAAAAAAAGGATCTCTAGGAATGAAAGAATGATATGAGAGCTGAGTGATCAATCCGAACAGAACAATATTTGCATAATAGTGGTGCCAGAAGGAGAAGAGTAAGACAAAGGGACAGAAAGTCTCTTTAAGGAAATAAGTGTTAAAAACTTCCCCAAACTGGGGAAGGAAATAGACACTCAGGTCATGGAAGCACAGAGATCTCCTGATAAAAGGAACCCCAGCAAGACAACACCAAGAATATAATAATTAAAATGGCAAAGATCAAGGACAAGGAGAGTTTTGAAAGCAGCCAGAGAAAAAAGATTACTTATAAAGGAAATCCCATCAGGCTACCAGCAGACATCTCAACAGAAACTCTACAGGCCAGGAGGGAGTGGCATGATATATTTAATGTACTGAAACAGAAGAACCTACAACCAAGAATCCTCTACACAGCAAGATTAGCATTTAAATTTGAAGCAAGGATTAAACAATTTCCAGACAAACAAAAGTTGATGGAATTCCTCACCACTAAGTCAGTATTACAGGATATGTTAAAGGGATTGCTGTAGATGGAAATCACCCTAAGACGAAATAGCTTTCATCAGTGAAAATAAACCCACAATAAAGGTAGTAGACCAACACATTACCAACTAAGTATGAAATTAAAACAAAACAAAAGAATCAAAATCAACTGTACACAAAATCAGTTAAGGGAAACACAAAAAGTGCAGATCATGAAATCTAATATGAAAAATGTGGAGGAGGAAGGAAAACCAAAGTACCTTTAGATTGTGTTTGAAATAAATTAGTAATTTAAGATAGACTATTATATAGTCTAGAAGCTATCCCTGAACCTTTGATAACCACAAAACTAGACTACAATAAATACAGACACAAAATAAATAATTTTAAGAAGAGAGAGAAATCTAATTACAACACTAAAGATCAATAACATGAGAAGAATATAAGAGAGGAAGAAAGGAACAGAGAGAAGCTATAAAAAACAGCAGAAACAATTAATAAAATAGCAGTAAGTACATACCTATCAAAAATCACCTTAAATGTAAATAATTACCTAAAGAACAAGAACAATCCCAAATACATAGTCTAAAAATCATAATTAAAGAAACTAGAAAATGAACAAATGAACCTAAGTCAGTAGAAGGAGGGACATAATAAAGATCAGAGCAGAAATAAACAAAATAGAGAAGAATAAAACAATAGAAAAAAATTAATGAAACCAGGAGCTAGTTCTTTGAGAAAAATAAACAAAACAGATAAACCCCTAGCCAGACTTAGCAAGAAAAAAAGACTGTACACACAGAAACAGATTCTGAAATGAGGAAGAAAAAATCACAATGGTTACCACAGAAATACAAAGAATTATCAGAGAACAGTATGAAAAATTACATGCCAATAAATTGGACAACTTAGAAAAAATGGACAACTTCCCAGAGAAATACAAGACTGACCCAGAAGAAACAGAAAATCTGAACAGACCAATTACTAGCAATGAAATTGAACAAAAACTCCCCCAAAACAGAATTTCAGTTCTAGATAGCTTCACAGTTGAATTCTATGAAACATTCAAAGAAGAGAGAGTACTCATCCTTCTTAAAGCATTCCAAAAAGTAGAAGAGGAGGGAATACTTCCAAACTCATTCTATGAAGCCAGCATCACTCTAATACCAAAACCAGGCAAAGACACACACACAAAAAAATTATGCACCAATATCCCTGAAGAACACAGATGCAAAAATCCTCAACAAAATGTAAGCAAACTGAATCCAAAGATACATCAAAAAGATCATCCATCATAATCAAGTGGGATTTATTCCAGGGATGCAAGGATGGTACAATATTTGTAAATCCATTAATATCATACACCACATTAACAAAAAGGAAGAAAAAAACCACATTACCATCTCAACAGATGCTGAAAAGGCATTTGACAAAGTTCAACAACTTTCATGATAAAACCTCTCAACAAAATGGGTGTACAGGATACGTACCTCAACATAATAATAAACCCAGAGCCAACACGATACAGTGAAAAGCTGAAAGCTTTTCCTCTAAGATCAGGAATAAGACAAGGATGCCCACACTCCCCACTTTTATTCTACAGAGTACTGGAGGTCCTAGGCACAGCAATCACACAACACAAAGAGATAAAAGGCATCCAAACTGGTAAGGAAGTAGTTGAACTCTCACAATTGCAGATGCCATGACACTATACAAAGAAAACCCTGAAGAGTCCACCGGAAAACTATTCAAACTAATAACTGAATTCAGCAAAGTTGCAGGATACAAAATTAATACATAGAAATGTGTTGCATACTATATACTGACAATGAACTAGCAGAAAGAGAAATCAGGAAAACAACTCCATTTATAATTGCATCAAAAAGAATAAAATACCTAGGAATAAACCTTACCAAGAAAGTGAAAGACTTATACTCTGAAAACTACAAGATATTCATGACTGAAATTAAAGAAGACACCAAAAAATGGAACTCTATCCTGTGCTCATGGATAGGAATAGGAATAATTAATGTCAAAATGGCTATCCTGCCTAAAGCAATCTACAGATTCAATGCAATCCCTATCAAAATACCAACAGCATTCTTCAACAAACTAGAACAAATAGTTCTAAAATCCATATGGAAACACAAAGACCCTGAATAGCCAAAGCAATCCTGAGAAAGAAGAACAAAACTGGGGGGATTACACTTCCTAACTTTAAGCTCTACTACAAAGCCACAATAATCAGAACAGTTTGGTACAGGCATAGAACAGACCCATAGATCAATGGGACAGAATAGAGAGCCCAGATATAAACCCACACATATATGGCCAATTAATATATGATAAAGGAGCCATGGATATACAATGGGGAAAAGATGGCCTCTTCAACAACTGGTGTTGGCCAAAGTGGACAGCTACAAGTAAGAGAATGACACTGGATTATTGTCTAACTCCATACACAAAAATAAACTCAAAATGCATCCAAGACCTGAATGTGAGTCATGAAACTCTTAGAAGAAAACAGGCAAAATTCTCTCGAGTATAAACATGAGCAACTTTTCCCTAAACACCTCTCCTCAGGCAAAGGAAACAAAATCAAAACTGAACAAGAGGGGCTACATCAAACTAAAAACCTTCTGTAGAGCAAAGGACACCATCAGTAGAACAAAAAGGCACCCTACAATATGGAAGAATATATTTATAAGTGACTTATTGGATAAAGGGTCAACATCTAAAGTATATA